TGGTCCAGACTCGATTATTTACAGACCGTCTTGTTGCTGGGATTTTATCGAAAAACCGAATTGTCCCACAAAAATTACAATGTTGCGAGGTGTTTTCAAGAAAATTCAGGCTTATAATTTAGTTATAAATACAAAATTATTTAGGTTGTGTAGCTGTGGCAGAAAACTATCTTATCTTGATACCCCCAACACCCCCACGCCCTACCCCACCCCCACCCTGAACGTAATGGTCGGTCCCTAACCACCAGGCCACCTCGCCACCCCACATAGACATAGACATATACTTATTTCTTGTAGGGGGCGGGCGGGTAGCCTAGTGGTTAAAGCGTTCGCTCGTCACGCCGAAGACCCGGGTTCGATTCCCGACATGGGTACAATGTGTGAAGCCCATTTTTCTGGTGTCCCCCGCCGTGATATTGCTTGAATATTGCTAAAAGCGGCGTAAAACCATATTCACTCACTCCATGTAGACAGGGTTCCTAAAGCCAAGTTGTACCTCTCTTAAGTATGTTTGAAATTCATTTGCTTAACTTGATGACGGCGTGCTCATAATATCAATCACTGGTTTGCCTGGTTCGGACTCCACCATTTCAGGTCGCAGTCATATAGTCGGACAATTGCTGAATGCGATGTTAAACAAGAAAGTAACATCACGGGTCAAGAGATTTGTTCATAGTGCAATTCAAAACCGATGACCTTTCACGCCGCGAAAGGAGAACATGCTCTTCTCACTGTCAACAAGACCGCCTCCGTGGTCTAGTGGTAGAGCGTCCGCCCGGAGAGCGGAAGGTCCGGGGTTCGATCCCCGACCGCGTCATACCAAAAGACGTTAAAAGATGGTACTTGTTGTTACCCTGTCTGGCGCTCGGCATTAAGGGGCTAAAACAAGGACTGGTCGGCTCGGAGTCAGTATACTGTGTCTGGATGGGGTATTCATGTTAAACTGCGGCATGGTATCTCAGTGAGCTAGCACTATAAATCGGCATCAGTCCGGACTAGTACAAGCAGCCACACACACACACACACACACGTGCATGCACGTCGCTATATAAGTGCAATAATCTTGGACGCGACGTTAAACCCCATTTCACCTCACCTCACCACTGTCAACAATTATGGCAGTTAGTTTTGGGTTATGCGCAGGTGCGTTATGGGAAAGGTCAATGACATGACCTTCTTGACACTATGTCAAATTCAGCAGTCAACCAGTCCGTACTCGCAATTGACCTCGCATTCTCGCATCAATCACACTTACGTTGATTCAGTGAACTCGTCAGCTTCCTGATGACTTCAACATACCCTAACTTAGGTCACCATAATTAGGTGACATGTTTTTTATTTTATGGTTTTGAACTATTTGTTACCCAGTTAGCTTCGGTCGTACTCTTGCAAGACGTTTGTAGGGGCAAGGGTATCAAATATTATTCATGACCTTATAAGTTTGTTTGTTTAACGCCGCACTCAGCAGGGGCAGTCGTCTAAGGCGCCGCGATTCGCTGTGCAGAGTTGCGTCCCTTGGGCACGTAAGAAACCTATGATTGTGGGTTCGAATCCCGGTTCGCCCCGATTATGTTTCTAGGTTTGTCAGCACCATACCCGTGCTCGTGGGTTTCGCCGAAGTGGTAAACGTCTGAGACCTGCATCACTTCGGGCTTTCCTCCCACATTAAGCTGACACGCCGTGATATAACTGGAATACTGTTAAAAATCCCCATCCGACTAATTTAGGTTGCCAAGTTATATTTTCCGACGTCAGATGTGTGTTAATACTTAATTCCTCTTCGCGTCTCTCAAATGCCGACACCATTTTGAGCAGTCGTACGTATCACAAATCACGTGACTTCTCAGCAGTATCGGAATGGTTGTAAATGGCCACGCCTGTTTGACAAACATTCACCGCCAAAATCGAGTTTGAAACACTAATCTGTTGGCCAAAATATTGTTGAGAATAAAAACGGATATTTTTCGCAAACTTCATGTACTAGCTTGCAAACTGTTTTCGCAATGTTCACAAACACAAATATGTTTGTAAACATCAATCGACAAACTTCAGTTTTCAAGGCAAGATTAAGTCTGATAAGCGAGTTGAGTTCCAGTGACATGACATTCTGGGTAGCGTGACAATCCACGCTGACATTTGCGTGTTTGAAGATATTGACAGACGCGACCGACAAACCAGTCAACACGGAAACTTGTAGACAAGTCAGGTCTTTGTCGTAAAAAACACGTTTGTTTGATAATTGAATTTCTTTTTAGACTTAGGTGCCTTCATTATTTCTCGAAATATAAGGGGAGGTAGGGTAGCCAAGTGGTTAAAGCGTTGACTAGTCACGGTGAAGGCCTGGTTCGATTCTCAAGCAAACGCCGATCTAGAGCGGGCGTGCACTTCAGCGCACTGCACCCTACAAATCCGTATCACCCGACTTTTGAACCATACTATTCATATTAATGTATAAGATGAATATAACTTAATAGTTACACTGCATTCTTCCAGCAGTTTCTATATCTAAAGTTCCCCCCGACCCGACAAACCGGGTGTGAAGCCCCCCCCCCTTTCGTGTGTCCCCCTTTGGTATTTATCGTCACGCTATAAAATAAAATAACATCTGGTTTTGCAGCTGAAGCTGAAAAACATGTTTAATCTCGAAACAAAATTGAGTGCTCCAGTCAGTATCATGAATATTTTATTTCAGCTGTTACAATTATGAGACCCGTGAAGATCCGGGATAGAATAGGTCTTCAGCAAACCATGCTTGCCGTAAAAGGCGACTATGCTTGTCGTAAGAGGCGACTAACGTGATCGGGTGGTCAGGCTCGCTGACTTGGTTGATGCATGTCATCGATCCCAATTACGTGGATCAATGCTCATGATATCAATCACTGGTTTGTTTGGTCCAGACTCAATTATTTACAGACCGCTGTCATATAGCTGGAATATTGCTGAGTGCGGCGTTAAACAACAAACAAACAAACAAAAATATACAATTATGATATTGTTGTTATGTGACATTAATTTGGAAATAAATAAATTAGTTGTTAAACGATATATTCTTAAATATAACTAAAACATATTTGCGCAGAGAAAGAGTCAATCAGTCTTCGTCTTTCAATAACATGAGCCCCGTGAAAACATGTATACATGTGATTATTCGCCGCGTTAATTTCGGTGCATTACAGCTTTCGTATGTTACAATCTCGTTTAAGTCGTGCAAGTAAATAACTATTTCAGTCACCTGTCACGGAGTCATTTTACACGCACGATTTGCACGTGCTTTCCGTGAACACCTGTGCGCAAATGGTGTCCTCACCTCACCTCACCTCACCTCACCTCACCTCACCTCACCCAGAGCCGTGGTCAGACTCGCTGACTTGGTTGATGCATGTCATCGTATCCCAATTGCGTGGATTTGACTGGTCCAGACTGGATCATTCACAGACCGCCGTCATATAGCTGGATTATTGGTAAGTGCAGTTAAACAACAAACAAACAAACAAACACAGCGCTCAAGACTATTCCCAGTACGAAGTTAACATTATCGTGCTATTTCTAGCGTAGGACACTTACGTCAAACTGTAGAAAGGGAATTCAGCGGTGATGTAATTTGGTCACGTGCTACTTTAAGTCTTCCGGCCTTTGGATATCGGTCAATGACTTCTTTAAACAGAGTTTGTGTGGCACGGAGTGACAATGATTGTTTTAATTACATCTGATATAGCCATGCGGAAAAACGCCCGTTCTCTGTTTGCAAATACAAATGAACAATTGTCAATTGCTCTGACATTCAGATGCATTTCCTCCCGGCCTTTGGTGAAGCGTGTATTGTTTGGTGCTAATTGCAGCTTAGTAATCGCCGTGTACCGTCGGGCAGATCGAGCAGATAAGCAGCACAAGGGAGTGTCTTTGTCATAGCTGGGGGCACGGGTGGCCCAGTCGTCTAAGGCGCCGCGATTCGCCTTGCAGAGTTGCGTCCCTTGGGCACGCCAGAAACCTATGATTGTGGGTTCGAATCCCGGTTCGCCCCGATTATGTTTCTAGGTTTGTCAGCACCATACCCGTGCTCTTGGGTTTCACCGAAGTGGTAAACGTCTGAGACCTGCATCACTTCGGGCTTTCCTCCCACATTAAGCTGACACGCCGTGATATAATTGGAATACTGTTAAAAGCGGCGTTAAACCCAACTCACTCACTCACACTTTGTCATAGCTGCTGATACCGTATCTCCTCATCCACTCCACGTTCAGGGGCCTGGGGTTGTATTGGCAGAAAAGAATTGTTCCCGAAAATTCGTGGAAAATAATTTATGCTTCATATTTTTGGAAAAATAAGAAATTGTCTGCCACAAAATCTGGTATTTCAGCTGTAACTGAAAATATATCTGGTCTCAATAGAAAATTCCAAAGAATAGAAATGTTCAGTGGGTGAATGAACCAGTAAATGAATGGACCACTGAATGAATGGGCGAGTGAATGAAGGAAGATTGAATGAAGGGGCGAGTGAATGAATTAGCGAGTGAATGAATGGGCGAGTGATTAGATGGACCAGTTAATGAAGGAAGATTGAATGAATGGACCAGTGAATGAATGGATCAGTGAATGAATGGACTCCTGAATGAATGGGCGAGTGAATGAAGGAAGATTGAATGAAGGGGCGAGTGAATGAATGGGCGAGTGAATGGACGAGTGAATGAATAGGCGAGTGAATGAATGGACCAGTGAATGAAGGAAGATTGAATGAATTGACCAGTGAATGAATGGGCGAGTGAATGGACGAGTGAATGAATAGGCGAGTGAATGAATGGTCCAGTGAATGAAGGAAGATTGAATGAATGGACCAGTGAATGAATGGCCGATTGAATGAATGGACCAGTCAGTTGATGAAAAGGAACAATTAGGCGTTTTTCTTTTACAGGATCAAATATTAAACAGTGTCATACAAATTTACAAATCTCAAGCATTTACAGTTCCGTCGGCAGTGACGTAATGTGGACATTCTGCTTTCAGTGTTTGCTGCTCTGCTGGGGGTTGTGACGTCAGCAGACAGGGACGGATGTGACGTCGACATTAAATATGACCCCTACCACCCCTGTCCCCGGAGCTACTTCCCCGTATGTGGATCAGACTCCCGGACATACCCGAACGACTGCGTGTTCTGTCAGGCCAAGCGAACACAGATGTACAGGGGCTTGCCAGGCATCAGCCTCTACCATTCGGGTACGTACTGCAGATGGGGCACCCTGAATAATCGGGGGGGGGGGGGGGGGGGGGGGGGGGGTGGCGGTCCGGGGGGATGATAAGGGAGCAAAGGTGACCCAGAGTGCCGTTGCACTAACTGATGAAAGCGCAGAGTGAGTGAGTCAGTTAAGTTTAACGCCGCTTTTAACAGTATTCCAGTTATATCACGGCGTGTCAGCTTAATGTGGGAGCAAAGCCCGAAGTGATGCATGTCTCAGACGTTCACCACTTCGGTGAAACCCACGAGCACGGGTCTGCACAGCGAATCGCGGCGCCTTGGACGACTGGGCCACCCGTGCCCCCTCCAAAGCGCAGAGGGTGACTCACGTACCTTATCAAAGTGTGATTTGTCCAACGGCACCCTGTCTCTCAGGCGCTGCAATTCGCTGTGCACAGTTGCGTCCCTTAGGAGCACCAGAAACCTATGATCGTGGGTATCTTGGTTTGTCAGCACAACACATGTGTTCGTGTTTCACTAAAGTGAGGACAGCACCAGTGGTGTAGTGGGTAGAGCGTTCGCCCGGAGAGCGGAAGGTCCGGGGTTCGATCCCCGGCTGCGCCATACCAAAAGCATTAAAAGATAGTATTTGTTGTTACCGGGTGAGAATAGGTCTTTAAACATCAACCCATGCTTGCCGTGAGAAGCGAATATGCTTGTCCTAAGAGGCGACTAACGGGATCGGGTGGTCAGGTTGATGCATGTCATCGTGTCCCGATTGCGATGCTCATGGTGCCCATCACTGGATTGTCTGGTCCAGACTCGATTATGTACAGACCGCCGTCATATAGCTCGGATATTGAATCGGTTGTATAAGGTTTGACGAATCGTTACATGGCGCTGGTCTGTGGCAGGGGTGATATTCTGTCTGCATGGATCCCTTGGTAGGAGAGTATGGCTTCCGTTGATACAGCCACTAAAATTATGCTGCTGTTTGTTGACTTACTCATCTTGGGATGAGATACAATTCATTCACTGATCCATACACCGTTACATCATTCATCTCGTGTAATTGATTATGAAAATGTTATCATCATCATCATCATCAACATCATCATCAACATCATCATCATCATCATCATCATCATCATCATCATCATCATTATTATTATTATTATTATTATTATTATTATTATTATTATTATTATTATTATCATTTCTGGACAAGCATTGATCTCCTCAAGGTGTCTGTTTAATCTATCATCCGTCACCTCAGTCACTTAAAATCACTCGTCGGGGAACCCAAATCACCCAAATGGGAACAATGTTCGAAGCCTATTTCTGATGTCCCTTGCCATGATACTGCTGGAATGTTGCAAAAAGCGGCATAAAACTCACTCACTTTCATTCATCTGCTTATATCGCCATTTATAATTTATCTTGAATCCGTGTATGGCAATATAAGATCATGTAATTAAAACAATCATTGTCACTCCGTGCCCCACAGACTCTGTGGGCAAAACGTGCTTTAAAGGAAGTCATTGACCGATATCCAAAGGCCAGAAGATCTAAGGTAGCACGTGACCAAATTTCATCACAGCTTAATTCCCTTTCTACAGAGAGGGGCGGTCGGGTAGCCTAGTGGTTAAAGCGTTCGCTCGTCACGCCGAAGACCCGGGTTCGATTCCCGACATGGGTACAATGTGTGAAGCCCATTTCTGGTGTCCCCCGCCGTGATATTGCTGGAATATTGCTAAAAGCGGCGTAAAACCATACTCACTCACTCACTCACTTTCTACAGAGTGACGTATGTGTATCTCCTTCAAGCGATGTACTTTTGTAGGTAACTGTGAAGAAAACACACGCCGGCCAGTTACACAACGTCCCACAACGAGGCGCCCCACCTTGACGATACGCCCCACCCCTACCCCCACCGGGTCGTCCCGAGGGTACACCTCTCGCTTCCAGGCTCTGATGCGGTATTTCCAAGACATGCGAAACCCCTGGGTGGGGAGGAGGAAGGGACGGTCGGTCGACAGGTCGGCGGGAGATCGTCAACAATCGGCACTGTATCACTAACTACACCTAAACCGAGGACAACAAGGTAAGGGGTGAATGTGTTGATATGGCAATGTTTGTAGTGAGTGTGTGTGAGTGAGTTGGGTTTAACGCCGCTTTTAACAGTATTCCAGTTATATCGCGGCGTGTCAGCTTAATGTGGGAGGAAAGCCCGAAGTGATGCAGGTCTCAGACGTTTACCACTTTGGTGAAACCCACAAGCATGGGTATGGTGCTGACAAACCTAGAAACATAATCGGGGCGAACCTGGATTCGAACCCACAATCATAGGTTTCTGGCGTGCCCAAGGGACGCAACTCTGCACAGCGAATCGCGGCGCCTTAGACCCGTGCCCCCTGTTTGTAGTAAGAGACAACACAATGGATCGAGCGGTTACACGAGCTTATAATCATACCCCGGATATCGTTGCTGATAATATTAATCACTGGAATGATATTTACAGACCGCTGTATTATAGCTGGAATACGGATGGAATAGTGCAGCGTGAAACAAAAAGAAACATGGCAATAAAGAAAATTAACTTTGTTTGTTTGTTGTTTAACCCCGCACTCAGCAATATTTCAGCTATATGACGGCAGCCGATAATAATCAAGTCTCGACCAAACAATCCAGTGATTGACATCACGAGCATCGATTCACGCAATTGGGATACGATGACATCCATCAACCAAGTCAGCAAGCCTGACCACCCGATCCCATCAGTCGCCTCTTACGACAAGCAAAGTCGCTTTTTACGGCAAGCATGGGTTGCTGAAGAGCTATTCGGATCTTCACGGGAGACAGATTAACTATGTTCTTTTTAAAGAACCTGGTGTTCTATAACTTCTTTTGAGAAGTATATGTACACATAACTGTCCACAGTTAATTGTAATCTTTCATTATCTAAAGTAAATACATCTTACTATTTTCGGGTGGCCTCGTCGTCAAAGTCGCCACGATTCGCTGTGCAGGGTTGCGTCCCTTGGGCACGCCAGAAACCTATGATTGTGGGTTCGAATCCCGGTTCGCCCCGGTTACGTTTCTAGGTTTGTCAGCACCATACCCGTGCTCGTGGGTTTCACCGAAGTGGTAAACGTCTGAGACCTGCATCATTTCAGGCTTTTCCCCCTCATTAAGCTGACACGCCGTGATATAACTGGAATACTGTTAAAAGCGGCGTTAAACCCAACTCACTCACACATTATCCAAAGTAAATATATCTTGCTATTTTCAGATTTCGGATAAATCTTCAGCCAGTACGGAGCACAAGTACGTGATGTCTAATCAGGCCAAAGAAACAGCTTCTCGGTTTTGTTTGGAAATGACCAACGGTCCTTGTCGTTATGCATTTCACTTTTAAAGTACATTGTAACATCTCTTGGCTGATGAGTTCGGAAGGAAACGAGTATCGCCAGCGGCGGTGAATGGTACGTTGTTCAACAACCCATGATAATATGTGCCGTTATAATAAACCGTTTGATTACAACTTATTTTCGTCCAATTTCTTTGTTTAGTGGATCGTGTTCACCAACTTCAGGTGACAAAACACTTCGAATCGATAGCACCTGTCGTCACGCCCATCGCCATTCATTCTAGACGCGTGAAGATCCGGGGTAGAATAGGTCTTCAGCAACCCATGCTTGCCGTAAAAGGCGACCATGCTTGTCGTAAGAGGCGACTAACGGGATCGGTTGGTCAGGCTCGCTGACTTGGTTGAAGCATGTTATCGATCCCAATTGCGTGGATCGATGCTCATGATATCAATCACTGGATTGTCTGGTCCAGACTCGATTATTTACAGACCGCCGTCATATGGCTGGAATATTGCTGAGTGCGGCGTAAAACAACGAATCAACCAACAAAAACATTCATTTTGGTGGTATTATGAGTTTACGTACATTTATTTACCTCGATCGACCCTTTGCCGTGCTCCCTTCGCCATAGACGACCTTTTTAGAAGAATATTTGGAATATGTTGGGTGGGTGAGGTTTGATTTCGCCACTTTCAACAGTATTTCAGCTTAAGATATCACACGGCCTCGAAACAAACACAATCAGCATTCGCACTCTGAGGGTTGAGGGACACAACTCTGCACAGCCAATAGTGGCGCCTGGGCCTCCCGTAGCCCTTATAAAATTATGAGTGAGTGAGTTGGGTTTAACGCCGCTTTTAACAGTATTCCAGTCATATCGCGGCGTGTCAGCTTAATGTGGGAGGAAAGCCCGAAGTGATGCAGGTCTCAGACGTTTACCACTTCAGTGAAACCAACAAGCACGGGTATGGTGCAAACAAACCTAGAAACATAACCGGGGCGAACCGGGATTCGAACCCACAATCATAGATTTATGGTGTGCCCAAGGGACGCAACTCTGCACAGCGAATCGCGGGACCTTAGACGACTTGGCCACCCGTGCCCCTTATAAAATGATGAAATAGCTTGAAGTAAAAAACATCATTAAAAAAACAAATCTCCTGTATATTTATTACATACACCATCTGATTTACAGTGACGATTGACGATATGTATACATGCTTATGTGACGTTCATATAGGGTGGTTAAGGAATAGGACATGCAAGGACGTTGATATGTGTTATACGTATAACGGGAAGCGACACCACCTCTAGTGCAATTCTAACAGTAATCCTAACAATCTTAGCACCAATGCACAGATCCTACGATCTGTAAATAAATACGATTATGAAAACGACAAACACTGTTGGGAGCAACCATTTCATTTAAGGGGGGAAGGGGCGGAGAAAATATATATATCAAACCCCTGTTTTATTTCTAAAACATTATATATTCCTCGCACCGTAGGAATATAAAAAATGTCGTTTTCTTAAAGTCAAGTGCCCAAAGAATATAGTTCGTTGTTTATATTTACTTAAAAAATGAGCCTGTGTATTTTTGGGAAAAAATAATTGAGCTCCTAAACATTTAAAACATGCTGATCTCATACCAAAATCCCCGCCCCCTGAAAATGAAATGGGTGTTGCTGTATTCTTAGATTTTGAACTTCAGTGGTCCGTTATCCATCACGAAAAGCCACGTCGTGCACAAAAAATAGATCACAATGAAGTAAAAATTTTGTATAAGCTTGCTTCGGATTAAAGAGGTTCAGGATAAACCAATAGCCATAAGGAATATAATCTCATCAAAAGGAAGTTTGTTCAGAATGAACGTCAGTTAGCCAATCGAAAATATTTATTTTTTTTACCGGCTGACCATCAGCTGGTTGACAAATGGCACAGCGCCAAAGAAATACAAATCACATGACATCTCTGGAAGCAAACAAACTGGACAATGCGGGACGGACAGACATACATTGTAAACATGATTGTAAAATGATATAATGAAATCCGCCTTCAAGTACATTCTAAACAGATTGCCAATTTCGCATTTGTTTTTTATGTCGGTTGCCTCATTCGTCACTACTCGCCTCTTTCCGTAACCTGCAAGAAGACTCGTCCCCCTATCAATGAATGTTATATGCGAAAATACGACAAATCAATCAGAATGCGCGTATGAATTCAAGTTCTTCGTCAAAGAATCCCTCAGAAATAATTTTTGATTTTACATATGTCTTGCATCTAAAAATATACCCAAGACACAGTTAAATGTGTTCAATCATACTGTATTATTTCGCATGTCCCGATGTGCTTTAAATTGTGTCTGAAATATATATAATATATGGGGAAAGATGTGTGAACCATTACGCAACGAGTTGACAAATGTTTTAGGTATGCTCGTTTGCGCTAAGACGGAGCCAGGTCGCAAAAATGGCCATGAGAGGGGCACGAGTCGCTATTCGGCTTGTCCCGGAATAACACGAGTTGGTCACGAATGTCGGCTGACTATGTTGACGACGCCATGTTGATGACGTCATCTACGACTCCCCGGATGATGCTTTGGTTGACTGAGTTGGGTCTCCGAACAGAAAGTTGCCGACTTCCGCTGGGTCGTCGCTGACCAAGAAACGAAACCAAAACTGCCTGAAATGGTCCCTGGTCAACTGTTCCCCATTCAACTGAAAACAATTCATTGTTGTGAAATTACGTCACGTAAACAACATCGTTAATATCAAATATAATGTAAAACAGCAACGCCATAGATTAACCAGTTTCGATTATCTGCCGAAATAGGTGAGGTGAGGTGAAATGGGGTTTAACGTCGCGTCCACGATTATTGCACTTATATAGTGTATACACGCGTGTGTGTGTGTGTGTGTGTATGGTTGGGGGGGGGGGGGGGGGGGGGGGGGGGGGGGGGGTACAGATACTCAGATACAGTAAACTGACTCCGAGCCGACCAGCCCCTTAATGCCGAGCGACAGACAGGGTAACAACAAGTACCATCTTTTAACGCCTTTTGGATCGAACCCCGAGCCTTCCGCTCTACCACTAGACCACAGAGGCGGTCATCTGCCGAAATAGATTCCAATGAGCGTAAACGGCTAAATAGTGGTGAAAAGTTTTGGAAAGGATACCCACTGTTCGTGTAAATGGGCAATTCGCCCCTAATATAATTTGCATATAAAAGTAAATGTTTCTTTGTTGCCTAACGCTTCACAACAAAATTGCTGTCATAACGGCGGCTTGTGAACAATCGAATCTTGCCCAGACAATCCAGTGGCACGATAGACCTTTCACTGAAGGCGGTTCTGCGCAAATATCTCACAGCTCGACCTTTGACACGTGTTGCACGGGCTACGATTTGCACGTGCAGGGCATCTGTTCCCGGAAGTGAGGCTCAGTCGACTTTTCCGAAGGGGGTGGAAAGAATTGAGGAGGTGATGTGAATTGGTATTTAAGATCACGTTACGATTATTTCATTGGTTCAACTTGCTCTCAATTGTCGACCAGACATATGTTTAAATTGTCAAATATTTGGTTGAGATCGTTAAGGTTGGTTTGTTGTTGGTTTGTTGTTTAACGCCGCACTCAGCAATATTCCAGCTATAACGGCGGTCTGTAAATCATCGAGTCTGGACCAGACAATCCAGTAATTAATATCATAAGCATCGATCCACGCAGTTGGGATACGATGGCATGCATCAACCAAGTCAGCGAGCCTGACCACCCGATCCCATTAGTCGCCTCTTACGACAAGCATAGTCGCCTTTTACGGCAAGCATGGGTTGCTGAAGACCTATTCTACCCCGGATCTTCACGGGTCTCGTCAAGGCCTTGAATCTGTACGATAGCCTTTTGTTTTCACAATGTAAATTTGAAGAGTCCTGCAATCACGAGCCTTTTTAAACACTTTTTTTCATATTCCCTCCCTCCGGCCCCTCTCGGAAAACCTTTGAGATGAGCAACACACACATAAGTATGGACGCCCTAATATCTATATTTTGAAGCGCCCTTAAAATATCAGAATATCCATTACATTGAAAATGTCACAACATTTTATCCGTAAATGCCGTGTTTTCTCTACTATGTGCTCACCAAAGGCTGGATCTGTGAGTGGGGTTTGAAATAAAAGCCGGGATTGTGATAACACACAGCTGACGGATAAAAAATTGTGCCAAATATATTTCAGTGCGATCGAGTTTACTAAACCAAGCCGTGATCTATTGATACTTCCTATACAGAAATAAAAGTCTGCCCCAATTAAGATTTATATCCGTAATATAGGAACCACGGTAAACATATTTCCTTCATTAAAATCAGAGCTTGAGTACGTGTTTTTTTAGCATGCTTGTCGTAAGAGGCGACAAACGGGATCGGGTGGTCAGGCTCGATGACTTGGTTGATGCATTTCATCGATCCCAATTGCGCGGATCGATGCTCATGATTTCAATCACTGCTATTGTCTGGTTCAGACTCGATTATTTACAGACAAATAAAATATTTGCGACCGTCCGGAGGAACAAACAGTGTTCTTGTGAGGACGTATCGGTGGTCGTGAAGATCCGGGGTAGAATAGGTCTTCAGCAACCCATGCTTGCCGTAAAAGGCGACTATGCTTATCGTAAGAGGCGACTAACGGGATCGGGTGGTCAGGCTCGCTGATTTGGCTGATGCATGTCATCGAATCCCAATTGCGTGGATCGATGCTCATGATATTAATCACTAGATTTCTGTTACAGACTCGATTATTTACAGACCGCCGTCATATAGCTGGAATATTGCCGAGTGCGGCGTTAAACAACAAACAAACAAACAAACAGATACATGGGAGTTCGGGATTCACGAAACTAAAGAAGGGGATGCTTAACTTTTTTTCAGCAGTATAGTATGAAATTGGAAGTTGAACGTACCGCTTGGGAGAGTTTGTTGTAAGACTGATTGCAGTTGTCTGCCGGGACGCTGAACTGTGTCAAGCTGCTGATGTATTCTTCCTTGTCGATAACGCTGTCGCCTGAAATACACATTCACAGGTGTTCGTTGTATCGAGGTCTCTCTTTATTAGGTTGAGTAGTGGGGCAGTCCTGCGCACCCCTTTATTGAAGCATACTAATCAAGCTTGCGTATACAACAAATTATACAACGTAATCATTTGGTAGGATGTTTTCAACAACTCCAATAATAATAATAATAATAATAATAATAATAATAATAATAATTATTATTATTATTATTAGTAGTAGTAGTAGTAGTAGCAGAAGTAGTAGTAGTAGTAGTAGTAGTAGTAGTAGTAGTAGTAGTATTGTAGTAGTAACAGTGGAATCCTCTTTCAGATTTCATTTTCAACAAATGAAAGTGTACGTATTTGGAGATTTAGTGATTAAGGCTGTATCATGATTTTAAGCCAATCGGCCAGATGGTGAAACTTACTGTTGATGTCCATGACGTCAAACACGAAGTCCACGAACTCCACGTGCCAGTCGTACACTGCGTGATCGTCAATGGAAGATGCCGGCCAGTCACGTGACTTTGACGCCGCCTTCACAAAGTCGCTCCAATACGACAACCACTCAGGCAAACTCAGCTTAAAGAGAAACAACAAAATACAATGTCATGTGCTGTTGGTTGGTTTGTTGTTTAACGCCGCACTCAGCAATATTCCAGCTATATGACGGCGGTCTGTAAATAATCGAGTCTGGACCAGAAACATACGGTGATTAACATCATGAACATCGATCTACCCAATTGGGATACGATGACGTGCATCTACTAAGCCAGACCGAACACCCAATCCTGTTAGTCGCCTCTTACGACAAACATAGTCGCCTTTTACGGCAAACAAATGGTCGCTGAAGATCTATTCTAATCTGGATCTTCACGGGTCGGTTTAACAGTACTTCAGTGATATCACGGTGTGTAAGATTGATTTGATAGAAAAATTGATATGACACAGTTCCTAGACGTTTTACCCATGAACACAGGCAAAGATATCGTGACATTAAACATATGAACACATTTAGGACGAATCTACGGCCACCGGTTTGTGGCAGGCCCGAGGTGCTGACATTGAAACATATGACGACTGGACCATTTGTGTCTCAAAGAACAATCATAGAATAAATATCTCGAAAACACGAAGAGGGGATATCAGCTTTCTTCAAATAGCATGTGTACCAAATCGTGTAAAGCTCACAATGTTGATTTGTTCATGACTTACGCAGAAACAAAAGAAAACAGCTAAATGCAAGAGTCTATTGTGCACATTAATATAGTCAGGACATGTATGAAAATTGCGGATCGAAGTCAAAATTATATCAATAGCAAAACACTGCTTTTCCAAAACAATAGACTTATCATTTGCATAGAAATGAAACACCGAAATATATCACACAAATTCGTAAGAGGCGACTTAGTTATTTCTTGGTAAATATGTAAATAAGACATACCCTATTTATTTAATATACTACACATTTCCTAAAACATTCTAACAGAGGCGCTTAAAGAATCCCCGCCATGTGGCTCTTCGCGTGACATCATGGTAATTCTGCATCAGTTTAGTTACAAATATTTCGAATGCTTCTCGTAAGAGCCGACTAACGGGATCGGGTGGTCAAGCTCGCTGACTTGGTTGATGTATGTCATCGTATCCCAATTATGATGCTTATGATGTTAATCAATGGATTGTCTCATCCAGATCCGATTATTTACCGACCGCCGTCATATAGCTGGAATATTGCTGAGAGCGGCGTTAAACAACAAACCAACAAACAGAAACAAAAAAAAGGCATTTCAATCACTAAAATCGATTTTCAACGCTGACATTGACAACTTTTCCTGTTTCCCCATGACCCCAACCAGACAATCCAGTGATTGGCATCATGAGCATCGATCCACGCAATTGGGATCGATGACATGCATGAACCAAGTCTGCGAGCCTGACCACCCGATCCCGTTAGTATTAGTTAGGAATATACCGATGCTCATGATATCAATTACTGGATTGTCTGGTCCAAACTCTATTATTCAGAGACCGCCGTCATATAGCTGGAACATTGTGAAGTGTGGCGTTAAACGACAAACAAACAAACAAACAAACAAACGGTACAATCAGTGAGTGACCGATCTTCTTACTTATTTTGACCTTAAAAGATATATACGGCCAGGACCCGAAGAGAAGACAAAATTACAGCCTTAGATAGAAATATAAATTGTGAGAAACGAGGGATCCCTGATTGCGTAAGGTTGCACTATTCTATCACTTAAATGTTGTGGACGTTACGACAACCGTAAGTCTGTTCCTATGTGAAAGTTACGACATATGTAGCGTTACTATTGCTTCTCCAATGAGGCCATGGGACCAGTTTACCAAAGCGATCTTAGGGCTAAGGTTGTCGTTACTTCCAAACTATAGCGATAAGTCATAAAACAGCAATCTGTCCGCGCAACTGACAGAAAGGACGTACGTGCATTTGTAGTGGGTTCTTCCGGTAGTGCTTGGAGCTCTTCATCAGTCCCGACCAGATGCTGGCCATCCGCGTCTGCAGCGCCCGGCTCTGTTCACATCGTCCCGACAGCCCTTTGATACCTGTAACCAGCTGTAACAGACAATGTTTACCTGTATCTAGCTGTAACAGACCTGTGCCTGTAACCAGCTGTAACAGACAACGTGTACCTGTAACTATCTTAACCAGAATTTACCTGTAACCAACTGTAACAGTCGTTTACCCGTAACTATCTGTAACAGAAATTTACCGGTAACAAGACAACGTTTACCTGTAACACAAGGTGTACTCGTAAACAGCTGTAACAATATCGACACGAAACGAGGTGTAAAAAAGTGTATGTAACTTACAATGTGTACATGTAACCGAGTGCAACATACAACGCGTACATGTAACCAGCTATGGCAAACATCTGCCTGTAACCAACTGTAACACACGTCCACATGTAACCAGCTGTGACAAACATCTGCCTGTAATCAACTGTAACACACGTCTACACGTCTACATGTAACCAGCTATGACAAACATCTGCCTGTAACCAACTGTAACACACGTCCACATGTAACCAGCTATGACAAACATCTGCCTGTAACCAACTGTAACACACGTCTACATGTAACCAGCTGTGACAAACATCTGCCTGTAACCAACTGTAACACACGTCCACATGTAACCAGCTGTGACAAACATCTGCCTGTAATCAACTGTAACACACGTCTACACGTCTACATGTAACCAGCTGTGACAAACATCTGTCTGTAATCAACTGTAACACACGTCTACATGTAACCAGTTGTGACAAACATCTGTCTGTAATCAACTGTAACACACGTCTACATGTAACCAGCTGTGACAAACATCTGTCTGTAATCAACTGTAACACACGTCTACATGTAACCAGCTGTGACAAACATCTGCCTGGAACCAACTGTAACACACATCTACATGTAACCAGCTGTGACAAACATCTGTCTGTAAGCAACTGTAACACACGTCTACATGTAACCAGCTGTGACAAACATCTGTCTGTAACCAACTGTAACACACGTCCACATGTAACATTGGCGACAAACATCTGCCTGTAACCAACTGTAACACACGTCTATATGTAACCAGCTGTGACAAACATCTTCCTGTAACAAACTCTAACACACGTCTACATGTAACATTGGCGACAAACATCTCCCTGTAACCAACTGTAACACACGTCTACATGTAACATCGGCGACAAACATCTGTCTGTAACCAACTGTAACACACGTCTATATGTAACATCGGCGACAAACATCTGCCTGTAACCAACTGTAACACACGTCTACATGTAACATCGGCGACAAACATCTGCCTGTAACCAACTGTAACACACGTTACATGGTACCAGCTTTGACAAACATCTGCCTGTAACTAACTGTAACACACGTCTACATGTAACCAGCTGTGACAAACATCTGCCTGTAACCAACAGTAACACACGTCTACATGTAACATCGGCGACAAACATCTGCCTGTAACCAACTACAACACACGTCTTCATGTAACCAGCTGTGACAAACATCTACGTGTAACCAACTGTAACACACGTCTACATGTAACATCGGCGACAAACATCTGCCTATAACCAACTGTAACACACGTCTACATGTAACCAGCTGTGACAAACATCTGCCTGTAACCAACTGTAACACACGTCTACATGTAACATCGGCGACAAACATCTGCCTGTAACCAACTACAACACACGTCTTCATGTAACATCGGCGACAAACATCTGCATGTGACCAACTGTAACACACGTCTACATGTAACATCGGTGACAAACATCTCCCTGTAACCAACTGTAACACGTCTTCATGTAACATCGACGACAAACATCTGCCTGTAACTAGCTGTATAATACAATGCCTACATGTAACCAGCTGTTACAAACTACATCAAACGTTAGACGGCTGTAACATAGTGTATACATGTAACCAGATGTAATTACAGCTGTAAAATTGACTAAAAAAACTCTAGTGGTGACTTGCATTATTTAATAAGTAGATTGTCAAAGGCATTAAGGTTTTGTCCAACATGAATCATTCGAACTGCAACCTAAATGACGTGCAAAAGATCAGACAAACTGTTACCTGTATCTAAACCACGACATTTTTACAATGTTATAACATATATATGGGATTGTAGTTTTTTTCCAAATGAGATAACCTATTTTTCTGATATCGTTTACGTGACATGAACAATATGCAAGTCGTCGGGGGCTTCCAGGTCTCTGGTCACATTATCTGTGGGAGATTCACCGAGGTTATGTGTGAGGCCAGCCCCACACCGCGACATGGCCTGTCACCTCCATGTCAGCCTTGTGGATCTCTGTTTCCGCTACATGCCACCAGCGTGTTCGTCCCCTCTCGTAGCATCCCGACACATGCCGAATGCAACTATTTACATTAAGTGTGGAAAATATTGTTTTAAGGTTGAAAAATGTCTTGTAAGTTGGAACGAGTAAAATGTCTAACTTATCCCGATCTTTTAGCCTGCATCTGAGAGTGTTGGTTCCGGTTGTCGACTTGTTCCTTCAAAGATTTATGTTCTGGTTCGATCCCCAACATTGGTACAATGTGTATAGATCATTTCTGTTGTGATATTGCTGGAATATTGCTAAAAGCGTCGTAAAACCACACTCACTCACTCTCCTAACATAAGCCTACTCTCCTAACATCAACCAACTCTCCTAACATAAGCCCACTGTCCTAGTCTCCTAACATAAGCCTACCCACCTAACATAAGCCCACTCTCCTGACATAAGCCCACTCTCCCGACATAAGCCTACTCTTCTAACATAAGCCCACTCTCCTAACATAAGCCCACTGTCTCCTAACATAAGCCCACTCTCCAGACATAGCCCACTCTCCTAACATAGCCCACTCTCGCAACATAAGCCCCATGTCCTAACATAAGCCCACTCTCCTAACATAAGCCCACTCTCCTAACATAAGCCCACTGTCTCCTAACATAAGCCCACTCTCCAGACATAGCCCACTCTCCTAACATAGCCCACTCTCGCAACATAAGCCCCATGTCCTAACATAAGCCCACTCTCCTAACATAAGCCCACTCTCCTAACATAAGCCCACTGTCTCCTAACATAAGCCCACTCTCCTGACATAAGCCCACTCTCCTAACATAAGCCTACTCTCCTGACATGAGCCCACTCTCCTGACATAAGCCTACACTCCTAACATAAGCCCACTCTCCTAACATAAGCCCACTCTCCTAACATAAGCCCACTGTCTCCTAACATAAGCCCACTCTCCTGACATAAGCCCACTCTCCTAACATAAGCCTACTCTCCTGACATAAGCCCACTCTCCTGACATAAGCCCACTCTCCTGACATAAGCCCACTCTCCTGACATAAGCCCACTCTCCTAACATAAGTCCACTCTCCTAACATAAGCCTACACTCCTAACATAAGCCCACTCTCCTAACATAAGCCTACACTCCTGACATAAGCCCACTCTCCTAACATACGCCCACACTCCTAACATAAGCCCACTGTCTCCTAACATAAGCCCACTCTCCTAACATAAGCCCACTCTCCTAACATAAGCCCACTCTCCTAACATAAGCCCACTGTCTCCTAACATAAGCCCACTCTCCTGACATAAGCCCACTCTCCTAACATAAGCCTACCCTCCTGACATAAGCCCACTCTCCTGACATAAGCCCACTCTCCTGACATAAGCCCACTCTCCTGACATAAGCCCACTCTCCTAACATAAGTCCACTCTCCTAACATAAGCCTACACTCCTAACATAAGCCCACTCTCCTAACATAAGCCTACACTCCTGACATAAGCCCACTCTCCTAACATACGCCCACTCTCCTAACATAAGCCTACTATCCTGACATAAGCCCACTCTCCTGACATAAGCCTACTCTCCTAACATAAGCCCTCTCTCCTAACATAAGCCCACTCTCCTAACATAAGCCCACAGTACTATCATAAGCCCACTCTCCTAACATAAGCCCACAGTACTAACATAAGCCCACTCTCCTCACATCAGCCCACTCTCCCAACATACGCCCAGGATCCTAACATAAGCCCACTGTCCTAACATAAGCCCACTCTCCTCACATAAGCCACTCTCCCAACATAAGCCCATTATCCCCAAATAAGCCTATTATCCCAAAATAAGCCCACTGTCCCAACTGAGCCCTATATCGCAACATAAGCCCGATGTCCTCACATACGCCCACTTTCCCAACATAAGCCTTATCTCCTCACATAAGCCTACTCTCCCAACATAAGCCTTATCTCCTTACATAAGCCCACTATCCAAAAATAAGCCCACTCTACAAACATAAGCCAATTATCCAAAAATAAGCCCACTCTCCTCACATAAGCCCGCGTCACGCCTCAGGCTACGCATCTGAAATTTATTCTCGGGAATTTTAACAGATCCTCTAACCTTTATTTTACATTAATTTTCATAACCTAATTTACAGTAAGCGTTCTACTCATAGGTACTAACTGACTACACATGACCCCATGACTACTGTGTGTGCAATTTGAGATAGTTTAGAGACCAACCACTTGTGTCACAACCTCATGCATGCCCAGCATACGTTTGTACAGTTGTACGTAAAACCCTTTTTTAATCCTCGGCACGTCTCTCCCCCGCACCCAGAATACCAAATGGTCCGTCCCTTAACATGTGATTGACGTCATCACTTGTCTACCTCTGGTATTGACTTCAAAACGTGCAGATGAACGATACTTACTTTTTGCAATTTGGTGAAATCTTGCCTCGACAGGTTTCTATCGTGTGTAATATCTGCAAGAAAGAAAAGTTGACCATGAATGTGACTTTATTTGTTTGTTTGTTTGTTGTTGAACGCCGCGCTCAGTAATATTCCAGCTATATGACGGCGGTATTTAAATCGAGTCTGGGCCAGGCAATCCAGTGATTAATATCATGAGCATCGATCCACACAATTGGGATCACCCGATCCCGTTCGTCGCCTCTTACGACACGCATAGTCGCCTTTTACGGCAAGCATGGGTTGCTGAAGACCTATTCTACCCCGGATCTTCAGGGGTGGCCCTGTATGTGAACATATGATAGGAAAATGAAGGAAAAATGGAATTACTAGGAAAGTGACATTGGCACTGTTTACAAAGACGCTGACAGATTTGTCAGACTGAAAAAAGATACCCCTCTGGTGACAATGGCTGTAGATCAAACGTTGAAATTTCTTTCATGTTAAACTATGCATGAAACTGTATAAATATTATGTGTGTTAACGCTATAAGTGAGTGAGTTGGGTTTAACACCGCTTTTAACAGTATTGCAATTATATCACGGCGTGTCAGCTTAATGTGGGAGGAAAGCCCAAAGTGATGCAGGTCTCAGACGTTTACCACTTCGGTGAAACCCACGAGCACGGGTATGGTGCTGACAAAGCTAGAAACATAATCGGGGCGAACCGGGATTCGAACCCACAATGCCCTACTCTCCAACGTGTATCACGAGAAGTGCACTACTCTCGAACGTATATCACGAGAAGTGCCTTAATCTCCAACGTATATCACAAGAAGAGCCCTACTCTCCAACGTATATCACAAGAAGTGCACTACTCTCCAACGTATATCACGAGAAATGCCCTACTCTCCAACATATATCAGGATAGGAGCCCCACTCTCCAACATATATCACGAGAAGTGCCCTACTCTCCAACATATATCACAAGAAGTGCACTACTCTCCAACGTATATCACGAGAAATGCCCTACTCTCCAACATATATCAGGATAGGAGCCCCACTCTCCAACATATATCACGAGAAATGCCCTACTCTCCAACATATATCAGGATAGGAGCCCCACTCTCCAACATATATCACGAGAAATGCCCTACTCTCCAACGTATATCACGAGAAGTGCCCTACTCTCCAACGTATATCACGAGAAATGCCCTACTCTCCAAAATATATCACGAGAAATGCCCTACTCTCCAACATATATCAGGATAGGAGCCCCACTCTCCAACATATATCACGAGAAATGCCCTACTCTCCAACATATATCACAAGAAGTGCACTACTCTCCAACGTATATCACGAGAAATGCCCTACTCTCCAACATATATCAGGATAGGAGCCCCACTCTCCAACATATATCACGAGAAATGCCCTACTATCCAACGTATATCACGAGAAGTGCACTACTCTCTAACGTATATCACAAAACGTGCCCTATTCTCTAACGTATATCACAAAATGTGTCCTACTCTCTAACGCATATCACAAAACGTGCCCTACTCTCTTACATATATCACAAAACGTGACCTATTCTCTGACGTATATCACAAAATGTGTCCTACTCTCTAACGTATATCACAAAACGTGTCCTACTCTCTAACATATATCACAAAACGTGTCCTACTCTCTAACGTATATCACAAAACGTGTCCTACTCTCTAACGTATATCACAAAACGTGCCCTACTCTCTAACGTATACCACAAAACGTGCCCTACTCTCTAACGTATACCACAAAACGTGCCCTATTCTCTGACGTATATCACAAAATGTGTCCTACTCTCTAACATATATCACAAAACGGGTCCTACTCTCTAACGTATACCACAAAACGTGCCCTATTCTCTGACGTATATCACAAAACGTGTCCTACTCTCTAACATATATCACAAAAACGTGTCCTACTCTCTAACATATATCACAAAACGTGTCCTACTCTCTAACGCATATCACAAAACGTTTACCACTTCGGTGAAACCCACGAGCACGGGTATGGTGCTGACAAAGCTAGAAACATAATCGGGGCGAACCGGGATTCGAACCCACAATGCCCTACTCTCCAACGTGTATCACGAGAAGTGCACTACTCTCGAACGTATATCACGAGAAGTGCCTTAATCTCCAACGTATATCACAAGAAGAGCCCTACTCTCCAACGTATATCACAAGAAGTGCACTACTCTCCAACGTATATCACGAGAAATGCCCTACTCTCCAACATATATCAGGATAGGAGCCCCACTCTCCAACATATATCACGAGAAATGCCCTACTCTCCAACATATATCACAAGAAGTGCACTACTCTCCAACGTATATCACGAGAAATGCCCTACTCTCCAACATATATCAGGATAGGAGCCCCACTCTCCAACATATATCACGAGAAATGCCCTACTCTCCAACGTATATCACGAGAAGTGCCCTACTCTCCAACGTATATCACGAGAAATGCCCTACTCTCCAAAATATATCACGAGAAATGCCCTACTCTTCAACATATATCAGGATAGGAGCCCCACTCTCCAACATATATCACGAGAAATGCCCTACTCTCCAACATATATCACAAGAGGTGCACTACTCTCCAACGTATATCACGAGAAATGCCCTACTCTCCAACATATATCAGGATAGGAGCCCCACTCTCCAACATATATCACGAGAAATGCCCTACTATCCAACGTATATCACGAGAAGTGCACTACTCTCTAACGTATATCACAAAACGTGCCCTATTCTCCAACGTATATCACAAAATGTGTCCTACTCTCTAACGCATATCACAAAACGTGCCCTACTCTCTTACATATATCACAAAACGTGCCCTATTCTCTGACGTATATCACAAAATGTGTCCTACTCTCTAACGTATATCACAAAACGTGTCCTGCTCTCTAACATATATCACAAAACGTGTCCTACTCTCTAACGTATATCACAAAACGTGTCCTACTCTCTAACGTATATCACAAAACGTGCCCTACTCTCTAACGTATACCACAAAACGTGCCCTACTCTCTAACGTATACCACAAAACGTGCCCTATTCTCTGACGTATATCACAAAATGTGTCCTACTCTCTAACATATATCACAAAACGGGTCCTACTCTCTAACGTATACCACAAAACGTGCCCTATTCTCTGACGTATATCACAAAACGTGTCCTACTCTCTAACATATATCACAAAAACGTGTCCTACTCTCTAACATATATCACAAAACGTGTCCTACTCTCTAACGTATATCACAAAACGTGTCCTACTCTCTAACGTATATCACAAAACGTGCCCTACTCTCTAACGTATATCACAAAACGTGCCCAACACTCTGACGTATATCACAAAACGTGTCCTACTCTCTAACGTATATCACAAAACGTGTCCTACTCTCTAACGTATATCACAAAACGTGCCCAACACTCTGACGTATATCACAAAACGTGCCCGACACACTGACGTATATCACAAAACGTGCCCTACTTTCCAACGTATATCACAAGAAGTGCCCCACTCTCCAACGTATATCACAGAGCGTGCCCTACTCTCTAAGGTAAATCTCAAAACGTGCCCCACACTCTACCGTATACCAAAAACGTGCCCTAGACCCCCAACGTTTATCACAAAACGTGCCCTACACCTCCAACGTATATCGAACAAAGTTACCTACACTCCACCTTATCTAAACGGAAACGTGCCCGTCTCTCAAAAATCGTGTCTAAAAACGAGCCTTAAACTTAAACCCGACTATATCTCAAAATGCTGTTCATAATATCAATCATTGGATTGTCTGGTCAGAACTGGATTATTTACAAGCAGCCTTCGAATATTGCTGAGTGGCACTGAACACCATATAAACAACCAACTATGAAACGTGCCCCCTCTCTCCAACGCGCGTCCCAAAACGTGCCCTACAGTTAATGTTGGGTCACTCGATGTAAGCGTGTCACCTCGCCCTTTATCAACAGAAATGTACACGTATCATCTTCTACCTGTCAATCAAACATACGCGAGATTAGCAAGCAACCCAAACCCTGATATCTGATCCGAGAATACCAGGGGAGATTAACATAATGTCTCGACCGAGGGAGACGAACAGAACAGCCTTACAAAATGGCTGACGAAATACGAAATGTAAATACGCTCACCCGGCACAGCATCCGCAGAACGTTAGATGTTTGAAATAGCTCGGGTGTAGCGGGTGGATTCGTCAAATGTACACAGTGTCGTGGGGATTTACGAGGGACGGGGAAAATCAGAGAGCGGCGGAAGGGGCGTGTGTTTGGAAATGGATATCAAGTGCCGTCTGAAGTTATAGCGAGACGAATAAACACTCGACTTTTGAAGTACCGTTTGTCGGTATGTATCTAGGTTGATAGGAGCGTTTAATCTTTAACAATCATAAATATTCAATGCGCTTGCTTTCATTAAACGATGAAAAGCGAAAAAGATATTTGAAAACGTTCAAGGATATTGTTAGAACTTGATGTATATAAATTAAAATGAAATATTAAAAAAATACATTTTTGGTTGTATTTACTTTTTTTAAAAAAGGTATTAAGAGTAATAATTTTTATCCTCCGCACTGTGAACATGGATGCTATACATGTCGTTATTTTACACATATCTAAAAAACATACAATTTCCTATAACAATAATATTATTTTTTAACCAAATATGAAAATAATGTATTCACTTTCTTGTGTTTATTTACTATCATACATAACGAAAAACGTCTTAATTGGTATGGGACATATTATTACGATAATAACACTCACTATTTCTATGCACATTTTACACTTGAGAGGTTTTATGAATTAATATCGTTTATTAACATCAGCTGACGTAAAACCTCTGTGTAGGCTAATCAAAATATACGCCATCATGTAAATATCAATTTGAACCTATCGCGGGTCACGTCACCCCAGCGCACGGACAAAAGCTGCAGCGCGTGCTCATTTAGGCAGCCCGGAGACTTGAAATCGACACTGTTTACAAAGACGTTGACAGCCTTGT